CTTGCCTTGGACAAACCTGCATGAGAAACAACCCTGCGCAAATGTCCAAATGACACTGTCATGCCCTTTCCCGAAAACACAAGACACATCCTCCGTTCACCTCGATGCCTCGACAAGGCTGCAGCCCTCCGCAAACCTCCAAATGACCCTCTCAAAACGTTGCCCGCAAACACAAAAAACATCAAAAATCACCCAAAACGCAGCGTTGCAAGTGAACCTGACGGGAAAACAAAGCTCCAGTAACACATAACGGAATCCCCGTGGCCGCCCTTGATGATCCAGCAACAGTCTCTCCGCACTTGTTGCAACAATGACCCGAAATCTTTCAACTAAGCTTCAAATTTCTAAGAGAAGCCCCAGAATGCAATAATCTGACGTGCTAAGCATTTCAAACAGCAACCTTTTCTCTCAACTTCATTCTCTACGCGTGCTCACACTAGGTGGCAATGCAATATTCTGAGGCGTTGAGGTATTGGACCCACGCGTTCCATCATGCCTGCAAGCCTCGCCGCATATGGCTTGCCAGCTCTCAAGGTTCTGGTTCTGGTGGATGTGGCCGTCAAGCTTCTTCATGTCGCATGTCGAACCAGTAAGCGGTCAGGCTGTGCTCAGGACCAATGGTAGCCGTCTAGCGATCAGCTCCGCGGCGTTCCAACGCTGCAAGCCGCCGTCGTCGAAGCTCCTCGAGAGGGACTGCAGGAGCTGCAGGAGCTGCAGAAGCAGCGGAACCCCCGCGTAAGCTAAATCCAGCCACCAAAACAGCAAGGACAGTCCAGAAAAGGACAGCCAAGTTATCGACCAAGATGTCAAGGTATACTGCCCAGGCAGACGGAGTTGGCCCGGAGGTGTCAAACACCAAGACAGCAAATGCAGGCAGATCTATTGACGTGACCCGACCTCGTACCAGCTGAATTTGACGCGGTCTCTGGTCACTGAAAGGGGTATTCAGCACTAAGGGTGAATTCGCATAGCCCGGAAGTGAGAATGCTTTCACAGGATCCACCTGAACAGACTGCCTGATCGGGGATGGGTTTCTCAGCGTCAAAATTGCGGAACTTGCCGAACCGTTCCGTGCATTTCCATACCAAGCGGCCCAACCATAAACTTCTCCCTTAGCAGGATCTCCCCCAAACCATTGGACATCAGCAAGAGTCTCAGTCCTGCTGCTGGCCCACGTGGCCGCTTCAGCAATATCATCCCAATTCTCCCGATTCAGCAGGCTGGGAGTTATGTAAAGCTCCTGCAGCATCACCCCAGAACCAAAGGCGGACCGTACTTCATGCTTGAAAGGTTCATGGGACATGCCCGTTCCAGATCCTTCCAGCCGATTGAGGTCCCAGGCATCCTTTGCAAAGATGATTCCATGGACCATGAGCGAGCTCAGAGGAAACAGGGGGGACTGCGTCACAACATTGGCATAGACCATGGCATCACGGTACGTGATCCAACGTTCACGCGCGCACCCGCTGCCTTCAAAGTAATGGTCATGCCCCCTGCGCCAGACAGTGTCCGAATAAAGGAGCCAGAACGGAGATGGCCATGTGCCCGTCGACAGGTTGATAAAGACGTCGCTGCTAATCTTGCGCAGTTCTGCTATAAGGCTCACAGCTGCATCAAAGTCTTCCTCCAAAGTTTGGTCTAAGCCAGCTGGGTTTCCAATGCCATCCAGCTTCAACAGGTTGGCTCCCCTGCGCAACCACTTCCAGATCGCATCTCGGAAGTGCGTGTAGTATTCCTTGAGTCCCAATCCTAGGAATGCAGAGCGCGCACCTGGGTCGAAACATATCCTGAGATCTGAGTCCGAAAGACCGCTGAGGTCCACCCCAGGCGGGCTGACAGCGTGGGTGGTGTGCCAGCATTCAAGCTGCCCCTTGCAGTCCTAACTTGGATCGGCGCTCGAGGCAATGCCACATTCAAGCTACAGGAACAAGGAGCCACAGCAAACAAGTCTCCTCGTTGGTCTGGCAGCGTCCTTCCCCTTCGCTGCAGGGTGCAGATTGTGTACATCCACCTGGGGAAACTGCTGTGCGAGCAGACGGAATTTACTGTAGAACTCCCAGTGCTAATGCCTCTGAGCCAACAAATCCCAAGCAAGTTTCAGCAGCAGCTCAATCCCACCTCTGCGGAGCACTGCCAACTTCCGTTCACGCGTCTCCCCTCGCACAGGGATGCCGGCCTTCCTCGCTGCGTGGATGCGCCGCTGCCTGATCAAAGGGCGAGGGACTAAGGAGCCTTTGCTTCCCTGATATCTAACATAGACATCTTACACCATGCCGCGGACCCCCATGGCCTTGCTTCATGATAGCCACCAAAAGGCGAAAACCAAAGGCCCAATGAGGTCTTCCAATGCATTGCACGTTCTTCCAACTGCTTCAGGTCGCTCTTGCTGAAGCCACTGTGCGCATCCCAAGGTCCACTGTCTGGATCGTCCCAGCCGTCATCCTTGGACAGCGAAGCACACGGGTGCGCATCTACATTTGCACAGGCAGAAAATCAGGGCATGCTCAAGCTCTGCATCCGTACGATCACTAGACAGAAACAAAGTCAAGCATTGTCTCCCCGCATCAAACTCTTGCTGACTGGAGGAGTGGCCTGCTTGCCGGTTTTGCCAAGAGTCCATCAGGAAGGAGTCCAGCACAACACCTCTTCGCGCGAGCTCCCTGGCAATATGTTCCAATCGGTCTACTGCCTGCTTAGCATCAAATTGCTGGCCCGTTCCAATGTCATACCAGCTATTGTAATGAAGCATTTTCCTTGAAGGATGAGCACGCTCCCGTTCCAAGTAATACAAAAAGGACCTTCGCATTTGGCCTGGCGCCGCAACTCCCAGAACCAGATCTGCATGAGGACCATGCTCCGCAATCTTTTCGGCATGTTGTTTTAGGCAGCACCGGTACTTTCCACGATCTGCTGAATTTTGCGCTTGCGGATGCTCCAGTCCGAAGAAGAAGTGGTCTGAAATGACAGGTACTCCATCAACTTTGCCTGCCACACGGCTGCCCTGCAGGTTACCAGACAGAAGGCACAATTCGGAGTCAGCCTCTGGATCCACCGGGTGCTTTCCAGACCGTTTAACTTCTCCATCTGCAAGCCCTGAAGACGTGTTGTCTGCAGGTCCACTCATGCGAAGTGCAATCTTCAGATAGTTGGAACCATCCCGGAGCTCTATTGACCACTTTGCTGATTCCACGGTTCCTCGGAGCTCCATCACGGCAGTGATCATCCACCCGGTCATTCTCAAACTCAATTGCGATGCATTCGCCTGGTTTTCTACTCGGCCAAGATTCATCGTGAGCACTTGAAAATCTGAGCTGGACAGCACTTCACCAGCCCGATCCAGTCTGCCATCAAGCACAAGGTTGGCCTGGAATGCATCTTCAGGAGGTGGCAGCTGCTGTCCAGAGATCTTGTTTGTCAGCTGTATTGGCTGTAGGATTCCATCACGACATGTGATCAGCGCTTCCAAAACAGAATTCTGGAGAACGAAACTCCACTCTCCAGATGTTGCTGACGACTCAGAACCTTCAGCTGGTCCTGGCTGCAGACCTAAAAGCGATGGAAGGCCGCCAAATCCAACTTCAAGGCTGGACAGCAGGCATACCACGGAAAAGCAAAGCACGATTCGCGACATTGAAGTTAGGGAGAGGGAACTGCAAAATTCAAATGAACACAAGTACTCAAGCATCTTTGGGCCTAGCAAGGAAAGATGTCCTTTACGTAGCTTTAAATGGAACGACTTTGTCACATATGCTGCGCGAACAAAGTAATCTTCGGTCCTGAAATCTTGGCGTGAGAGCGAGCGAAGGTGGCTGGCTCACCAACTCTTAGGCAAGGCATGTCAGCATGCGCGCATATTCTTGTCGGTGAGTAGCATCAACATCTTTTCAAAGGGCGATTGTGGGGTGTCTTCCACCTCTCCGCCTCGCTACACCGCCCAGTGTGGTACCACCTGAAGATAGCAAAAACAAGCAAGGTTATGAGAAGCACAGTCACTTGGAACGCTCTCAGGGGCCAGCGAGAAGAAGGCAGGTCCAAACCTGATGCTGAAAACGCTTTTAAAGGTTTACACTTGTCATTTTGAGCCACAAGATGTCAACCGCAGTCGCTAGTGGCTTCGAACTGCTTTCTACGACTCACAGAGCCCGCTGCTTGTTGCTTGCGACTGACCACTGGCCGCTCTGCTCGCAAGAGCTGACAACCGCCTCCGTTGTAAGATTCCCAAATCAAACCCTTTAAAGATGCAGAACGAACCTTGCAAGCAAGCTCGGCTTGTGATCCGAGAGGCATTGAGGGTATTGGAGTTGTGCTCGAGCCTTTGGCTGCGCATCTCCTCAAACCAACCTGTGACAGGAAGAGCTGCAGAAACAAACAAAAAGCAAAATGTCTGCCCGTCCGCCTAAGGCACGCTGCCACTGCATGCTCTTCTCGCAGGACATGACACAGGCATGGTACGTGATGGCATCGCGCTGCAACTGCACGAGGCATTGACATTCTACTTCGATCCCATGCAAGAGGCCAAACACCAGAAACTACAATCTGCCTGTCCACGGTTCATGTCTTCCAACAAGAGAAGGACATGTTGCCACTGGCCCGCTTCATCGCAAGCCGCCTCAAGAGTGTCCCATCCGTCCGGTCAGTTCCTGGATGCTGGCCTACTGGTAGAGTAACATGGTCGAGGCACGATGGCGGCATTGTAGGTGATTGGGCATCTATCCACCTTTGCAGGCAAACAAACATTAATCAGGAGATACGTGCGATAAGCGAATAAGCCAATGACATTCTGGTGCTCCATCTGGGAAACAATTGTCAGTGCCAGCTCCCACTCGTGCCCTTTTTCGCAGGCACCTTCACATGTTACCCCAAAATGGGTGGCCACGCAAAACACGTATGTTCTTATCCAACAGTAAGCAATGCACTCACAGTAGCGTTGTAAGTGATGGATGTCTTCTGGATCGTCATACCTGGCTCGCGGATGGCTGTCTGGGTTGTTGGGTTGCACTGGCTTCCGGCCTCAAGCCCAGGACATCTACATGCTTCATGGAATCCGAGCCTCATGAGTTGCTTTGTCTGCTGCGTGCGGCTTCTTGACAATATCCGGCCAATGGGCGTGGGCGTTTAGGCGTGTCTGGTCCTACTGGCTTTTCGGCTTGCATCCCCTTTGCATACGTAAGCAACGCCGAGGGCACCCTCCATCTCACTGAAGAGGCCCAAGGCATGTTGCCATTGGCCCGCTTTCTCGCACGCACTGGCAAGAGTTTGAAGAGGTGAGCAGCGATGGGGGTTGTGGCAAGCCACTTTTAAGAATCGGATGGCCACGGGCCCTCTACAAATGGAAAGCCTGCCTGATGCAAGCATTGTAGACGATGCACTCTTTGTCCACGTTCTTGCGTGCTAACAGCCCTGGGGTCGACGTCGTCAGTTGCCGCCAAGCATCCTTCCGCAACGATATTTGCGGTGTCCGACCCCAAATCAGTATGAGCTAGGACCTGAGAGACACGAAGCAATAAGCCCTGCCTTGGGCCACACAGCGCGAGCTAACCTGGACCTGCCAAGGCTTCGCATGCCCGGCGCCGATCCGAAGGTGCAGCTCTTCGCATCGAAACCATTGCGCAGGTTGATGCCTAAAATTACCACGTCAATCTCAGCTGCTATCTGCTTCTTTGCAAATGCTTGTGAGGTTGGCTCTTTCCCCCGGAGGTTTCCACAGAGGAGCGACTGTCTGCCCTATGGGCGGCCAGCATACAAGATGCTCGCAAATTGGTGCCAGAGGGTTGAAATGGATTAGCTTCCACCACAGACGGCTCTAGCCCCCTTGAACCCAAGCCAAAGGCGCGTCACATATGATAAGGTTTGAAAGGCAAGGATGCGCTGTGTCCACATTTGCTTCCGCTTTGCCAGCTTGAAAGCCTTCAAGTGCTGCCACAAATCGAGTGTACTTCAATGCAATGAAAGGGCAACCCTGGTGCTTCTTCAGTTTTGCTGCGTGGGGCGGCACTTCTCCTGGCCGCCTGTGGCCTAGGTACACATTTACTGAGAAGCAAAGATGCCTAGCAGCTCCGAGGCACGGGCGGCAAGATGCCGACCAGGGCTGTGGCCTGAATAAGGCCCAAAACATCGGCCAGCATGACGCCGCCTGGCGCAAACACATCACCAGCTGTTTCTTTAGTTGTGATGCCACTACACGCTCTCAAAGAAAATGCCTCGGTCACAAGCCGCCACCGTGTAGCCCAAGGTGATGACGTCCTCGAAACAAATTGAGAACACGTCAGAACTTGACATTGAAGCGTCATGAGCTATGCGCGTCACTCAAGGAGTCTGCAATTCGCTAACCTTAAAACCTTGTCGTTCAAGCCCATGAAACTCCGAAGACTTTAATCAAAGCAAGAAAAGCCATTACCGCCTGAAAGTCCTACACTCCCACACCCGAACAAAACTGCTCAGTGCCTGGATCTAATACAAGTGATCGAATTAAGAAAAAAAACTCTCAGCAGAGCAAGACCAAGTGGAATCCGCGTTGAAACGCCCAAGACCGAAAGCAAAAGAGAGCAAAACCTGCTTCCCTCCAGACGCTGGCATTTTAGCATCTCTCTGGTGCACCTCAGAAACATTGACCTTGGACATCTCCTCCACCACGCTCAGAGCAGCCTGTGCAGAGTGGATAGCCAAGGGGGTGCGAGAGAGCTCACTCTGTCACAAAGTCATCTTTGTGGCTTATGTTTGTCCATGAGTGACGGTAAAGCACACTGCAGGTGCGAACCTTCCAGTTCCACTGGCACGCTGACACAGTAGAGGAGAATGAAAGCACGTCCTGCCGACGAGTGGACATCACGCGACATGAACATAGAGTCAAAGGTGCGGCCCCCCCAGAATTCACAAGTCAATGCCAAAATTGCAAAGCACAGGAGTGCAACATGGCGTGGGGAGGCAACCTTTCCAACAAGTAGTCGACATACCGGACACGTGCCCAAATCGACTGCATCACAAACGAAGGTTCAATCCAAGACTACGGTAGCAACGCAAAAACTGCAGCAAAAGCAAAAACTGTACCTTGACTGCTCCTGCTCTGCGCGCACTGCTTGAAGCTCAAACAGCAACTTCAGCCTTAGCAACTGTAGCCAAAAGACCCATCTACTTAAAGCATGGGAATCATGTAATTCAGCACACAAGTACAACCGTCAGTCTTCAACTCATGCACGCCACCGTTTGCTTTCACTTGCAAAAGAACCTACAACAATCAGGGTGGGGCCCCTACGCCCCTCGCCAATGCGATCCGTCCGAGGCAGCTGTGACGGCAGTATTGTGGGTGAGCTCGCCTTATACTTCTAAGGTAAAGGGGTCGGGCACCGCGGCAGCAGAGCATGGTACGATTCTTCAAGATATCAAACAATCGTCCTCAGGCGAAGACTTCGCTGCAGCTGGCAATCTTTGAGCTCCTTTGCGAGGCAAGCTGAGGCAGCATCGAGGCTGGTCTCCACCAATGCTGCTGCATAAACACTTTTGCTCCTGGAAGAGTTGGAGGACAAAGTTCCACTGAGACCACTCTTCGCAAGCTGACATCGCAGCTCCCAACGTCAGCACTGTAGGTTCCTGATGCGAAGTTGATATGCGCAAAAGAAGCACGCCCTCCCATCCTGGGATACAGCGACACAGCCGCATGTGAAGCCAAGCGTCAAGCAGGCATACGCCCATCCGACACAGTAACCCTGCGAAGCCGCTAGCGCCGGATAAATTTGTGGCTTGCAGGATTAAATGGTACACGAGCACATTTCAGCCACCTGTACTTGAAAGTTGCACGCAGGGCAAGCAGGGCAAGGCAGGGCAGGGCAGGGCGGCTGGGGCCTGAGGTTAGCTGCCACTGCCCCCGGCTTGCAGCCACAGCTGTGTTCAGGATAACTGCATTGTGCCGCAGGGATGCGGCGGCAAACCAACTCCTCAGGTTTGGAAGAAACCGCATCAGAAAGAGCATCCTGCTGTACTTCTGTGCCTCTGCCTTGGCAGCCTACTGCAGCTCTTCAGCTCTGCAGCCCCGACACACGAGCGTCATAGCCGCACGCCATTTTCCAGAACTCTGGCAACCACTCATTGCCGCCCCTGAAAAGCGCAAGACACCACACATGGGCTTTGACGCTGGCAGCATTCCCTCAATTTATCCACCAAGCTACCGAGAGTCACGACATCTCCTGGAATGCCATGCAGCCATGCCCCCCGACACAAGCTCAAAGCTGCATGCCACTGCCCAAACTTCTCACAAGCGCTGATGGCGGCCTCCAGCCAGCAAGCTTCATGCAAACTGCCATGCCAGCGAAGCATCATGGTCGAACTCAATGCCAGGCAAGGCACATTAAAGGAAATCAGGCTCCTCTGAATTCTGCACAGTCCAATGTCACCAAAACACTGCAGGGCTGGGAGCCAGCATGCCGCCTTTTCAGCCGAGCTCATGATTGAATTGAATGATATTGAGTCCACATCCGTCCCTGACTGGCAGGCATGCCTCAGCCCAAACGCAACTTTGCAAAACACCGCACAGCTTAACCCTGGCACAACGGAGGAGATTATCTCAGGCATGTGGCCGGATGAGCTGCAAGCCTGAAGTCCATTGCCCTGTCCGCTCACAAGCAGAAGTCATAGCGTTGTAAATGACAACGTTAGGCCGAACCTCGGGGGAGCAGAGTTGCTAAAGAGCCTACGTGCAATCGAGCCTCGCTGGGGATCAAGCCTCTCGAGTCCACATGCTGTCAAAAACTGCTAGTGCCTCCTTCCAGACGGCACCGCATGCACTGATAAGGGATCCTGTAATGATTGCATTTGCGGCAGTGGCGACGATGGTCGTGTTCATAAGCAGCACTAAAGCCGCAGACCACTGAAGCGCCTGCTGGCATGAACCCATGGAACATCCAAAGTTGACAGCATCTGTACGAACCAAATGTCTGCTCATCAAGTCATAAAGGCTGATTGCCAGCTTCCATCTGTGGCCGATAGCTGCGGTTGCTGTACTAAACGCAATGGAATCAAGGCACAGCCCAACTCTCGCCATCCACGCCACGATGCAGCAAGACACCTCCCAGGCCTCTGCTCTGCCCGACGCCTTAACGCCGATGCTAAAGCTGCGTTGGTCGTGTTGTACACTTGAGCCATGCAGCGAACTCAATATTGAAGCTGCTTGCTCCCAGTCATTTGTGTCCAGGCTCCCCCTTAGCGCAGCTATCGCCATCGGGAGCGACTTCCTCGTTTGCGCGCGCATGGTTTTGGTGCAAGCCATGTCTTGGTTCAGGCCGTGCTGCGCAAAAGCAGCTTTCAAAGGCCTCGCACCCAACGACTCGAATTCCACAAGATCTCTGAGCCAAAGCTGCAAAAAGCTTGGCAACTCACCCCCAAGAGTAACAGAAGGAGGTAGTCACAAGCTCGGGATTCTTCAGTGACTTTTTGGGCCAGGCAGGCAGAAGGCAAGCACAAGGGTGGCTTCTATTGTGGTCACGCAAGGATACCCGGCTTTTAGCCTGCAGGGCTCCTTGAAAATTGCAAGAACACATGAGCTCAACTCATGAGGTCCTCAAGTATGGCTCGAATTATAGTTACAATCGCAGCAATACCAACTTGAAGAGCTGGAAATGCTCACTCAAAGTACATGTACTTCGCAAAAATCAGCACCAGTTTGCCTCAAAAAGATGAGCGCAATAGGCCTGATATACTATGTGCGAGACCCACTCTTGCTTCAAAAGATTTGGCTTCCTCTACTGTTGGCCTAACCTCCCTGCATACACAGCAGCTTTGCAGAGAAAAAGCGCAGTTTAGGGTTGAGGGTTTACAACCGGTCAAAGTTTTTGGGCTTTGGATCCAGGATTGCGTGGTTGAGGGCTACAGGTTCAGGGGGCGCATAATTTTGTTTTTTGACGGTTTTCAGCTCGAGTTGGGTTCGGGCTTCAGCTGTAGCTGTCCTGGCTGGGAGCTTTTGAGCTTCAGCCTGGAATCTGATCTCGCGTGTTAGAAGGTCTCCAAAATTCACAAAATTCAGCCGTGAGGTCCATCGACGATTCGGGGATATGGTGTGAAGCTGGACTGAGGGGGTTTCAGGGTCTATGGTGGATGTTGCTGAAGGCTTCAGGAGTGTTTGCTTTTGGGGACATTCGTGGTTTAGATTCGCTCATTCTTCTCCAAGTCGTATGGCAACAGGCAGCTAGTTTGGGGATGGAATGCCTACGGTAGAGGGCTTGGAAGTTTACAGCTGGCGGGTTTTAGGGCTTCACCCCGTAGATTTTCGTGGCTTGGTTTTTGTGCATGTTTCAGGGTTGCACCGTCAGGCTCTGTGGGTTTAGGTACGAAAGTGACAGAAATCACTGAGGCGAGGCATGGAAAATCACTCGGGCGCATTGATTGATTGAGTGAGTCTACTTAAGGTCATTACTTGGGATTTGGAGTTCAGGGTTGGGGCCTCTGTCCAATTGTTGAGGCGGGCTGGCTCGGGGTCTAGGGTCTAGGGGTTGGGGGTACAATCTGAGGGTTGGAGCGTTAGTGCTTGAAGGCCTGAGGTTGCAGATTGGCTCTGCTTGAAAGTTTAAACTTCTTGGGTCTTTGGGCTTAGGATTTAGGATTTTAGCTGAGCTGATTTTGCTGCTCAGGATTTGGGCGCCTGGCGCTGGCTCAGGATCTAGTGTGGGGCAATGGGTTTAGGGCTTGGCATTGCTTCGGGTTAGGTTTTGGAACCGTGCAGGGCTTCAGGTTTGAAAATGTACGCTTGGCGCTTTGTTGAGGGCTTTGGGTTGTGGGCTGTTTAGGGCTCAGGGTTGTTTGGGGCTCATGGTCGGTGAGGGTTCGGGGCTGTGTAGTGCTCAGGGCTTCAATAAAAAATAAAGGGTTTCAGGCCTTTTGTTGTTTAGCGCTTGGGAATTTCTAAGGGTTTGGGATTGTTGCGGGTTTAGGATTTGGAGTATCTTAGGGCTTGGAGTTGGCTAGGGCTTGCGGCTTGGCTCAATTAGGCCTTCGGGATACTTAGAGTTGTTGGGAACGTTGACGTCGTTTAGGACTTGGTTTTGCCTTTGATTTAAGGCTTGTGCGGCTTAGGGTTTGGGGCTTGGCTGGGTTTTAAGCCTTCGGGCTGTTGAAAGTTTAGTGTTATTGAAGGCTTGCTCTCTTGGTACAATCTCTGGATGTCTCTGGTTCAGGCTTAATTATATTCTCAACTGATGGAATACCACGTCACGTAAAAATTGAATGATATGTTGATGTACTGTGATGTTTGGCTTCTTCAGGGTCTAGAGTTTTAGCAGCCATTGGGGGTTTAAAGGTTGGATTTTTGGGCTGTATGAAGGCTTAGGGTTATTTAGGATTTCAGGTTAAGGTTGTTTTGGGCTTGCGGTAGCTTAGGGTTTCTACACGCGCATCGCACAGCAGCGCAGGCACTGCAACAAGTGTCCTGTCCGGCGACCCCAGCAACTTTACTGGTAGCCACCAAGGTTGTTACCATCTTGCAGTGAATTCCCAATTCCAGTTTCATGCAATATTAGTAGCCACCAAGATTGTTCTGTCTAAACTGTGCACCAATCATGCAGTAAATTCGCATCTACTCCAAATGGCATGCAGGATGTAGCCACCAAGGTTGTTACCATCTTGCAATAAATTCCCAATTCCAATTGCATTCAGTATTTGTAGCCCCAAAATTGTTCTGTCCAGACTGTCCACCAATCATGCAATGAATTCGCATCTACTCCACACGGCATGCAGGATGTAGCCACAAAGGTTGTTAATATCTTGCAGTAAATTCCCAATTCCATTGCATGCAGTATTTGCAGCCACCAAGGTTGTTTGCAGCAAATCCCCCACCAATCCAAGTGCCTTTCTACGCAAAAAGTTTGCAGGCCAAAAACATCTGCTCGCATGAAGCTTGCAGGTCGTAGAGAATCTCATCCACTCCAAAAAAGTGGCATGCAGGATTGTAGCCACCACTGAATTCCAGTTGATCGTACATTTACATCCATTGCAGATGGCCTGCAGCATCTGTAGCCACAGCAACACAGCTGCACGTCAGCCAAAACCATATCCAACACCATACTGACAGTTCTCGGCATCTATGGCAGGGCTTCCATCCCTGCAGAGAGTCTCCACTCCAGAGCACATTTGTCTGCAGCTGACAGAAAGTTGCAGCTCCGTCTCGCACTGCTAGTACGCGGTACGTTCACAGCTAGCTTGACAATCAGTGGGTTTGTACTCGGGGTCAAGTAAGGAGACTCTTCCCTGTGTCAGCTCCAGTTTGCACCATGGAGCAACAGAACTGCATGACTCGAGAGCTACATTGCTTGCCCAAAGCTCACAGAAGAGGAGGGCTGTGAAGTCTCAATCCACCAACTACAAGCACAAACCCAGTGCAACCCAGAGCAAACCAGACTGGCGGCACGCAAGCACAGGGCAAACAAGGCAGCGGGGCAGCAGCAGTCGCAGCAGCATCTCCGCGCATCAGCCAGCATGGCCAATCTGTGGCACCATGTAATGGTTTAGGTGGCATGTTAGTGAAATCTCAGATTCCCTCCCACTCACTCTGCCTGCAGTGCCGGGTGTTGTCGGGT